CCGCGGTTCAATCCCCCAGCACCACATGCCAGCCAGCCCCGCCCCCTGGTGGGCTGAGCTGGCCACACACACATACACACACATAAATAAATAAATATTTAAAAAAAATAAAATAAAATAAAGGAATTCAAGGACTAAAACTATGTTTTGTTATTAACTATTAGTTTAGAACAAGATTCAGTATCAATGGAAATAAACATGACCCTAGATGTGAAAAGTCCAAGTAGAAATTCCTGCTTATTACGAAACAATGAATAACATTCTTCTGTTTTTTTCTTTAAATGTATTTGGTACAGGGTCTACAGGGTCTCACTACGTAGATCAGACTTGTAGTGATTCTTCTGTTTTCAGCCTCCCAACAGCTGGGATTACAGGAGAGCACCACCATGCCCAGTCTCAATCGTAGTCTCAGTGTACCTCAGGGGCGGGGCCGGCACAGCACACCAGAGATCGAACACCAGCTGCTGCACTCTGCCTAAGCAGGTGCTTTAGTGTGTTGAGCTATTCGGCCAGCCCTTATGAATAACGTTCTTACAAGGTGGTCATTGCTTTTGCCTCCTGCATATAATGCTACAGGGACCAGTTATCCCACGCAAGTAGTAATAAGTATAGTTTCTCACAGTGCAGATTTTAAAAGGGGTGGAAGGGTGGTCAAGGTTGTAGGTGTGGTTATTAACACATTATTTGGCACCTTTTAGGGAGTTTTTAGCTGTGTAATTAGGAAAAATAGGGGTGAAAAACTCTTTTGAAGGCCAAACAGTAATTTGAACGATTGAGCCCCAACTGTAATTTCTTTTTTTTAATTTTTTTTCCAACTGTAATTTCTAGCCAAACTTAATTAGCAGAAAATAAAACATTAATCTCTAGAAACTGAGCCTATCACATGAATATCCAAGTGCACCAGCAGACAACTTAAGCTGTTTTACAATGTGAAACAGATGCTTAATACAGCACCCACCAATCATGGTGTTCTCTAAGAATGCTGTGAGACTCATGGCCCATGCTATTAGCTTTTCAGATTCCCTGCTACAGGCGGAGGAGCTGTGTGGGAGATGTAGGGAATGAGCAGTGATAAAACCAGGCTCCAGTATATCAGATATTCCACAGTATTCAGCTTTGCCAGGTTAGAAAGTAATTCAAGCAATCCCACAGATCATTTTAAAGGTAGACTGATGAATGTCACAAACTTTATAAATATTAACTTCTCCAAAACAGGAAGGCATAGGGGAAAATGTGAAAAACATACCAAGCTGGGGACCAAAGGAAATGTACATGTACAAATATCCAAATGATCTAGAGATTCATAAGCACAGAACAGGTAGCAAATCCACAGTGGTTCATTATCACCTCCACTGCTAAGTCAGTGGTTAACTCAAGAAAAATTTGTCAGTTTATTTCAGAGTAACACTCAGGCCATAAAAATGGATTCGAGTAATGAACTAGTCACCTGTCGATGCTGAGATAAGAGAATGAGAGGTTTCATAGCAATAAAAGAACTATGAGCCTTCATTAATAAACACGCAAGGAACAAACTTAAATGCTACACTATTAGCCACCCACATCAATGGTCTGGCCCTGTAGGTAAGTTTCTGTGGACTTCAGTTTCCAAACTTATAAACAGGGAGCTAAAGTAACTTCAAATATCTGACTATAATGTATGTGCAGAAGTACACTCAAGAAAGTGGCAATTCTTAAGTACTTACGTAAGAAGTAAGGCAAATGCAAATGCTATATTTTCTCCTGGTGCTAGGGACAAAACCCAGGGCCTCATGCCTACCAGGCAACCATTTACCACTGAACCACCACCAAGCCCCCAGGATTCCTTGATCTTTGCTAGTTTTTTCCAATGTATTCTAAATGATACAAAAACAATTCACTTTATTGTATCCTATCCAAGTTTAGTGAACAAGGCTTCTACACCAAAGCACAGATTAGTCCAGGATGTATGTGCAGCTTACCCAGAGTGGGAGGTTTGGCACAGGATGACACTGTGGGAACAGAATGGTGATCAAACACTCCTAGACTCCAAAGCCACCATGTTTCCCCACGAAAGTGTTCAGACACTTGGAGAGAAGAATATTTCTCTACCAAATGTTCTTAGAGGGCAAATAATTATGATCTCGTAAACTATTACGGTTTGCTATCTAGCAAGGTTCAAAACATATACCTGAAGTCACAGGTACTTGTAAAAAGTCCTGTGATTTTCAGATTGACCTACTTCTGATGAGACTGGAACTGAGTTTCAAGAAAAATAATCTGGGCCGGCCAGATAGTTCAGCAGACTAAAGTGCCTACTTAGACAAGCACTAGGGGTCCTGGGTTTGATCCCCATGCAGTATCAGCCCCACCCCTGGGGCATGCTGAGATGGCATATGAGACTGGGCATGATGGCATGTGCCTGTAATCCCAGTGCTTGGAGGCCAAAAACAGGAGGATCACTACGAGTCTGATCTGTGCAATGAGACCCTGTACTAAATACGTAAGAAATAAAAATAAAAAGAATCCACACTTTCACTCACGTATCTTACTACTCATATGTTAAACTGCTCATATTCTAATACTTAAAGGCATTTAACATAGGATTAGAAAGGGTGCACGCTATGTAATTACATCAGCTTTACTATCTCATGTGTCTATACACGTCTTCAAATAAATTGTGTCTTTAGAACCTAATTCTACTTTAGAACCTAATTTATTTTTGCTTTTATTAGCTGGGTGAGTAATTTTTAGGAACATGTAGTCTTTCTTAATTTTTCACTCCTTTTTTTTATGAAGTGTCTTCATTTTATGAGGTAAACATTTATTCTACATCTGTCAAGCATTCTTTTTCTTCTGCTTTTTAAAGATGTATTTTAAGATGGTATTCTGCTTTTAAGACCTATTTTTAAGACCTATCAATACACTGTGATGTTTCCTGCCTCAGGGGCAACTTTAATGGAAGAAAAAAACATAAAATGAAACTTTCTTCAAGATTATCAAATAATTTAACATGGTTTTTTTTTCTGCATTTTGAGAATTAGGCATCTTTCGCCCATCTCTGTATTTTGTGCTATGATTATAGACAATTCTACAACTTAAATAATCTTGGAGGGGCCTGGGAGATAGCTCAACCGACTAAATGCCTGCTTAGGCAAGTGCAGAGACAGGGGTTCAATTCCTAGCACCACATGCTATGCTGGCCCCTGTCCCTGGGCATGCTAAGCCAGCCACACAGAGAGGGCATAGTAGCACATGCCTGTAATCCCACTGCTGAGGAGGCTGAAAACTGGAGGATCACTATGAGTCCAAAATTTGCAGAGAGACCCTGGACCAAATACATTAAACAAAAAAATCTTAGGGTTGGCCAAATAGCTCAGCAGATTAAAATGCCTGCTTAGGCAGATGCAGTGGCCAGGGTTTGATCCCCATGTGTCGTGCCAGCCTCACCCCTGGAGCACTCTGAGATGGCAATTGAGACTGGGCGTGTGGATGTGCACCTGTAATCCCAGCTCTTTGGGAGGCTGACCACAGGCAGATCACTATGAGTCTGATCTATGTAGTGAGCCTTTGTAGACCCTACTAAAAAATACAGAAAAAAAAAAAAAAAAATCTTGCAGGACATTGGTTTGTTCTACATTCAGGTCACACTCTGCTGCTAAGCAGGTATGAACACTAACATTTACTTAGGGTGCAATACGTCTAGTGTTATAGTGTGTATTCATGGAAGAGGAGGGTGACATGCTACGCCCAATGTGCTCTAGTAACGCTGAATGGTTATTTAATGTGTTTTAAGTCTGTTTATTTTATTTTTATTTTATTTTATTTTATTTTTTTATGGTACCAGGAATCAAACTCAGGACCTGTGTTTGCCAGGTAGGCACTTGTGCCGATGGTCATTTAATTTTATATTAAGCCTTGTGCTCTGCACACAGGGCTGATTTTAACAGCTAAGCATTAAAATCATCACTTTGAAAACTGGCTCCTGAACAATTGAAATAATTACTAAATACTTACCAGGGAAAGCATCAAAAGTGACTCTGTCTCCAGGAATGGACCCATCAGGAGGAGCCAGGATTTCGACCTTCTCTGGTGAACTGGCACACATCACCATCGCCTGAGACAGGACCCCCCTCATCTTTGCAGGCTTCAGATTGCAAAGCAGAATCACCATCCGATTTTCCATCTGTATGAAACATAAAATTGGTAGCTAACACTGCACAGATGATTAGAATAATCACCTGGAGAAAATATACTGAAGACATATGTTACACTAAATAACAAATGTTACACTTCTGTGGATGCATCATTGTTTCTGTGGGTCCAAACTCATTTCATTAGGAAATCATACACACATGAAAAGAAAATGCTCCAAACAACTCACCACAGCTAAAGAACACAAGAGGCCCTCTGGCTAAATACTTACTGAATGATTACATAAAGAAATGAAGGAAACAGATTTGGTTTTACATTTTGGTTACCACAGTCTAGCAATGGAATGTATAAAAGTGATTTTCCTGTTTCTTTTAAAAAGGAGTAGCCAGGACCAGAGAGAGAGCTCAGCAGCACAAATGCCTGTGTGGCAAGCACAAAGTCCTGAGTTCAGTCCCTAGTAGAAATAAAAAAAAAGGAGCAGCAGTAAGATTGTCTACACTCTACAGGGTACTCAGCCTTGTAACTGGATCAGTATAACCCATGAGAGCAAGCTGATTCACTTTTCCTGAAGAGGAAAATTGCTCACACTGAACAGTGTGCAACAGTAAACAGAAGAGCATGTGTAAGTCACATGGACTGAATACTTCATAAACAACAGCTTTCATCATCATGTTTATCACTGGTCCATCATGGAGTGTTATCATTCTTTGATTAAAAAAAAAATCATGAGGCTGGGGAGATGGCTCAGTAGAATAACCACTTCCCTGACAAGCACAAGGGTCTGAGTTCAATCCCTGGTTCCGAAAAAAAAAAATCACTGCACCACCATGATTAGTTCTCTTTTTTGTGTAATTCATATTTAAACTAATCATTTGAATTAATCAATATTAGCTTACATGCTATAGTCATCTTGACACAAAATTATTAAACCATAAGAACACATACTGCTCTAGATCTTGCCAAAGGCCAAGAAATGATTGAGATGAAATCATAAAGGAAAGACATCAAGAAAGAAGGAAGGTGACAAAGGTAAGTAATTTTTTTTAAGATTTTCCAATTAATTTTTTTTATACTAATTTTACTGAGAAAGAAATAGCAATGAGACAGTTTCAAAACAGGTTAGTAGGATGGTTGCAATAATTAATACATTAGGCATATACTTTACCTGTTCAAGAGGAACATGATTCACTAGGCCACTAACAACTGTTCTTGGGGCTGCTTCTCCAACATCTATTTCTTCTACATACAAAGAATCTGCATCAGGGTGTTTTTTGGCATTAATGATTCGGCCAATTCGAAGATCCAGACGGGAAGCATCCACTGGCTTAGAGTCAGCACTTCCTGCTGCAGATGGCTTTTTCTCCTTCTTTTCTCCTAAAAAGTGTTCATCAAAGGGTAAACATCAGACTAAAATAAAACTGCAGTGTGAGAAACCCATGGCAGCAATACTAATGCGCTTAAAAGAAAAAAAAAAATCTTGACTTAATAACAAAGGAAAGAATTATTTATGTCACCAAATATCAAATATTATTTTAGCTATTTCTCAAAAAAAAACCATCTGCATTTCTAGTTACACAGAACTTGGCAGACTGGCTCATGGGCTCCACTTAGCCTGCTGCCTATTTGCATAAAGCAAAGGCTTGTACTGGGACAGCATCCATGCTCACTCACTTTCATTCTGTCTCTGGATACCTGGCATGCAGGATTCCTGGCATCACAGCGCAGCTGAATGGTTATCATAAAGACTTTCTGGCCTCACAACCTAATGTCTCCACTCTGGAGCCTTTTATTTTAAAAAGTTTGCCTTTCTCTAGTACGGAGCTTTAGAAAATCTTTTAAAATTTTTATTGGACTCTGAAAGATGAAAATCTTTTATTTAAAAAACACATCCTAATCAACAATCAGATATAAACTAAACTACATGATGAACAGTGAAACTCAACTTCAATGATAAAATGTTGCTCTCACCAGTTATATGCAAAAGTATACAGTGGATTTCTCCACTTCTGGGATCTCTCTTTAGACTTGAGGACTTTTCAGTTTATCCCCAGCTAACTATTCAAGCAGAAGAAATGAGTTTATTCTGACCATGCTTTCACAATCTTGCTTTTATTTATAAGCTGATAATTCAATTTAACATATGATCACTTTAACTAGGGTCAAAATGCAATATGCAAAGAGGATGCATAATTCTTTTTTTTTTTTTTTTTGGTGGAACTGGGAATTGAACTCAGGCCCTTGCACTTGCCAGACAAGCGCTTACTCTGAGTCATCTCCCCAGCCCCCCCACTTTTTTTTTTTGCAGTACCAGGGATCGAACTCAGGACCTTGCACTTGCTAGGAAGGCGCTTATGCCGCTGAACTGTCTCCCCGGCTCAGAGGATGCATAATTTTTAAGTCTACAATTATCTTCTACTTTTCATCAAAAAGAATGTAAGCCCAAAATGAAAACTTATTGCTTGTCCAATCTGTATGCAGAGGATAGTTATTGTAGCTTGGAAACAATCTTTTTTCAACTCTATTTTTGCTTACTCTTTCAGCATTTACTACAGCCTAGGAAAGTTCTCAGGATCTGGAAATAGGTGATTGGCCCATGCTGCCACGGCACTCAAAACTTCTTTTAAGGAGAACAAGGAAAACACCTATGTCTACAGTAGTCCCCTTATCTAAGGCACACTTTTATGTTTTAGATTGCTATAGTCAACTGCTGTCTGAAAATAAAGGGAAAGTTCCAGAAATAAACAATTTGCTTGTTTAAAATGGTCCACTGTTTTGAGTAGCATCAATGAAATCCCATTCCACCCTGCCTGGGAGGTGAATCATTCCTTTACCCAAAGTATACATGGTGTATATGCTACATGCCTATTGGTACCTTTGTAGCTATCTCCCATGTCTGACTGACTGCAGAGTTACTACAGAGCTTGTGTGCAAGGAATCCTTATGTTACTTAATAATGGCAATAGTAGTGATGCTGACAATTTCATTACTGTGCATTATAATTATTCCATTTTATTTTTGTTAATCTCTCAATGTCTAAACTGTACTACAGATATGCATGTGTAAGAAAAAAACAGAATATAGAGGGTTTTGTACCATTCAGGGTCTTAAGAGTCCTTTGAAGGCTATGGAATGTTAACCCAATGGGTACGGACGGACTACTGTATGAATATGTAATAAAAATTATGTGAAGAAATAAAGACTTACAAAGATGAGCAGAAAAGCAGGATTCTGTGAAAAGACATTCACATTTAATCTCACCAGGAGAGTTTAAAAGTGTAAAATTTTCCATATGACAAATTTGCAAGGATTTTTAAAATAGCAAAAACCAAAAAACCAAACAAGGGCTGGACAGATAGCTCAGTGGACCAAGCACCTGCTTGCTTAGGCAGAGTGCAGCATGCAGGGTTTGATCCCTGGCATGCCATGCCATGCCAAACCCGCGCCCAGGGCACGCTGAGACAGTGATAGAGACTGGGTGTGGTGGTGCATGCCTGTAATCCCGGCATTTGGGAGGCTGAAAACAGGAGGGAAAAAAATAAATAAAAATCAGTTTTTTGATCATAAGGATTGAACTCTAGAGCCTTTGCAATTGATTGCATCCTCAGCTCTTTTCAGTTTATGTTTGAGACAGAGTGTGAAGCCTATCTTCCATTCTCTGAGGAGACATAGTATTTTGATTGTGGGACTGATCAGCCTTATAGCCCAATATGACAAGACAGTGTCCTTCTTTAGAGGGAAAGGGAAAGCACAAGAGTGCTCAGAGCCTCAGGCCGAAGTATTAGTGTCCAGTTAACTTCCTGAGGTGGTAGAAATGCATCCCATGTGCTTCACACAAATTCCTAAGGGGCTTCACACAAATTCCTAATAAATTTCTAAATTTCTCAGGCTAGGTTGAATCTTGTGAGTCTCCTGCCACAGCCTCCCAGAGTGCTGAAATTACAAGTGTGCAGCACCATGCCGAGTTACCAAATCTAATATATATATATATTTTTTTGTTGTTGTTGTTGTTGTTGTTTGTTTGTTTGTTTTGTTTTGTTTTTTAATTTTTACTTCATAGACATCTGAAATATCTTTATCAGGAATCCACATTTCAGAAAACCTATAGCACAAGCTTTGTTACAAAAAGGGCTTTTAGAAATGTCCCACTGACACTGAGTGATGCTCAAGGTGTGTACCTGGAACTGCAGAAACATGTGGACTTTCTAGCCTGCACAGGAGCACAATACTGGAACATGGGTTGAACCTACACCCAAACATCTATGCTACAGCCCTCTGTAACCAGCACTGCTCAACATATTACCTGTCAGCCACATACGGCCATTCACATGTAAATTTAAAATTATCAATTCCGTTAAGTAACGGTCATGACTTATCCAGACAGCTGACACTGACAAAAGATCTACAAGCTGCTATACATGGTTTCAGGGTAAATCCTCAGGGGATTTGATGGACCTGCTCAGATACAAAAGTTATATTTTTAGTTATATAGGTCTTGCTTTAACTTGGTTTTAACCATCCAGCAGAAAAGTATAACCATTAGGCATGAAAGTAAAGCCATATTAATATGCTGAGCTGTAAAAGGCTCAAGTCAACAACTTCTGACAATTGCCAGTTCTGCTGATAACCCACTACTATTATGGACCATTGGACTATATTGGGTTATTTTGCTGAATTCAAGTAGTTACAACCTATAGACTGGTTTCAAGTATGTAAAGGTCCTTTAAAGACTTCTCCAAATACAGTTTCTTTAACTGCAGTGGAGCACCCATCTCTGACAAAACAAGAGGGATATAAAGGAACAATTTGTAGTGAAAAAGAAAATATATGTATATACTAGTTAGGATAGACATACAGCTATTTTCTCTTAGTTCAATGAGAATAAAGGTTTGTACTAATATTGTTTAGACAAGGTATCATGTCTATATCTTGTCCTGTGAATAACTACTAGGAAGACAACAATACGCAATGTATTACTGTAACTGTCATACTAACCTGTTTTGAAACTGTTGAATAGAACTGTCACAATACAGAATTGATAATAAAAAAATTATCAATTCTGCTCTTCAGTCACACTAAACACATAGCTCAACAGCCACACGCAGACTTCAGGTCACATCTCAACCAGGCACACGGGATGCATTTCTACCACCTCAGGAAGTTAACTGGACACTAATACTCTGGCCTGAGGCTCTGAGCGCTCTTGTGCTTTCCCTTTCCCTCTAAAGAAGGACACTGTCTTGTCATATTGGGCTATAAGGCTGATCAGTCCCACAATCAAATTACTATGTCTCCTCAGAGAATGGAAGATGGGCTTCACATATTTGATAGGAATAGGCTCCCCAACTGTATTGTGACAATCTTAATAAACTTTATAATATAAATTTTATGAAGAATTTGCAACTGTTTTGTAATCCCTTCTTAATAAATTTTATAAAGGACTGGATTTTGCTCTCACTGCAATCATACCACCTAGTGGTGAAGTTATGTAAGAGGACACGCAACATCTACCTATTTCTAATTCATAGAAGCTACTTACTCATATTTACCTGAAGGAATTGATGTACACCATGCTAAACTGGCTTAGGTTAGTTCACAATTCCCTCAGCTATTTTGTATTTTTCAAATAACAACCAAACAACCCCCCATGGCAATTTTGACCATAACACAAAGTATCAGACTGAATTTGAAAGTACTTCTTTAGACACAGCTGGCAAAATTAAATTCTAGTAAAAAGTGAAGTTTATTTAAAAGGAGCCTTAAATTTATAATTAGAAAAATAGTTTTAATATCAAAGTAATGGAAAAGGTAAAATTTTAATACACAGATTCAGATGAAAGATCAAAAGCACCTGAACAAACAGCAACACATAATAAAAGTCAGAACTGGATTCTAGTCTTAACTTGTTGATAGGCACTATAAGACTTGTTGCTCAGGGCTGTCCAGATAGCTTAGCAGATTAAAGCACCTGCTTAGGCAAACGCGGGGACCAGGGTTCGATCCCTAGTGTGCTGTGTGAAAGCTGCTCCCAGGGTGCGCTGAGACAGCAATTAAGACTGGGTGAGGTGGCGCACACCTGTAATCGCAGTGCTTGGGAGACTGAAAAACAGGAGATCACTATGGTCTGATCTGGGTAGTGAGACCCTGTACTAAATACAAAAAAAAAAAAAATTGTTGCTCAGTTAAATATGAAAATTGAGAGGGACAGGTAAGGGTGACTGCACAATTTTAAGTGTCACTCTTCAAGTAGACACTGATACCAACAATGTAATGGTTCCTGAAACCTTAATATCTGATGTCTTAGTTCAGAAAGCATGCTTTGACTGATATCCCTTGTCTACCTTCACAACTGGATCAAAACTACCTTCCTAATTGTGACTTATTTGAAACTATGCCCCAAAATTTAGTCATTCCAAAGTACATATAGGTTTCTACACTGCATTTCTAACTGTTTTCTGGTTTTACTATACTGGTCTTTCACCCAAAAGGCCAGCTTCACCTTGCTGAGCTACTTAACATTCACACATTCTTCAGGACGGAGTAAGTTTCCATGTTCCAACAGCATAATGATGCTAATTTTATTCTAGTTCATAAGTTTCAACTTTTTGTTTTATACCATTATCATAAGCATTAAAAATGGTAACATCATCTGATAAACCAGTCGAGAGCCAGTAAGTTTAAAGGTCAAAATTACCTTTCTTTTCAGTTCTTTCTTTCGCCTTTTCTTCTCCCCGCTTTTTTACGTGTTCTTTGGCACCAGACGATACAGTTACTGGTGTTGACTGTGCTGCATTTTCAGCAGTCACAGAATTGGCTTGCAGTGGAGTATAAGATGGGCATGGTATTTGCTTCACTGAAACAGATGTTAGTATATATTAGCTCAACAAAAGATTAAAAAATATAAACTGAAACATAAATCAAAATTCCTTTTCAAAAGAAAAATTAACTGCACATTACTGTCAAATGTCTAGTATTATGTTCAGGGTATGGAAAAGCTGCTAAGAAATTAAGCATGTTTTAACCATTATTAAAAGTAACATAAAATGGCATGATTGCTATTTAATCATTCATTACTAAAGTGAGCAAACTACAGATAATAACAACAGCTGATATTTATCATGGATATATCATGTCCCAAGCCTTTTTCAAAATGCTTCCTACGAGCTGACTCATGTAATTCTCACAAGCTTGCTCTTCTCATGCAGCCATTTTACCAGGGATAAATCTGAGCCATGTGGAAGTGAAGGCACAGGCCCACCCGCCTGGAGAGATGTGAAGAGCATGTCCGCAGGAGGTCTGCTTCCAAAGAGCACACTGTCATAGCTGGCGGAGGCATGCTTGCAGCAGATCTCTTCAACAAGTGGGAAAATATTTTAATACTAGTCATTTCTATATTAGCATTAAGGGAGACAAAATTACTTGAGCATAACACTATGGTCAAAAAGCAACTTCTTCAAAAAATAAAGTTCTTCAGCTATGTTCTAAGATGGCTAAAAACATTTTACATACTTCCTCTGCTAACAGAAAAATATAAGCTCAGGAGAGATTTTGATGTAGTTTAGATTCAGGCCATATTCATACAGCACTTCCCTGAGGGATTTTTTTAAGTTCTCTAAATAGCACTGCTTTGTTTCAGCAATGTGAATCCCTATTTTATGTTTCTACCATTAGGCAGAATTCATCATTGTAGTTCACAACACTAACTAGGCTAGCATTTCAGCAATAAAACAGTTTACAAGTTTAATGCTCATGAGATCAATTTGTTTTTAACCACTGAAAGAAAAACAATGAGTTTTACACTAGAGTATTTTCATTGTTTACTTAATTCAGTATTTGTATTCCACATCTCTTAGTCTGACTAGTTCGAAATTTTCTGTTGGCAAACAACATTCTCTCTAGTTGACAACTCTACTCATCCATCATTGATTTTGCCCTTATGATTACTTAGCTAACTAAGGGTATACTTCAGATGATGTTAAAAATAATCAGCTGGGGCTGGGGAAGATAGCTTGGCAGTCTAAGCACCTGCCTGGTAAGCACAAGGACCTGGGTTCAATCCCTGCTACTGCATGCCATGCATCCCCAGCACCCTGGGGCACTGGCCACTGAAAGTCATCTTGGTCGCACTGGCCTGTAATGCCAGCACTGGGCAGGCTGAAACAGGAGAAGAACTAGGAGTCTGACCTGTGTAGCGAGACCCTGTACCAAATAAATTAATAAAAGAAAATTTTAAAAAAATAATAATCTACTGACAGAATACTGTTCAAAAGGAAGCAAACAGTAATAGTTTTTAATTTACTTGGTCTCAACTTCCCTAGAGTAATTTTCTACAATATAATCATAAAGCTTTTCTGTGCAGTACTTTGAAATCATTAAACTATTAACAAAAATGTTTTATAGCAATGTAAATTAACACAGAAATGCTGAAAATAATCAAAACTTTATTTATAATATATTTGAAATTATAATTATCTGCTGCCATAAATAACTCAAAAATTATGTGGTTTCAGACAACTATTCTATTCAGTTTCGTTTCTTTATAAAGAAAACAACTATATTTGTATAAAATGTTTTAAGGATAAAATAAAAAATGCATGTAATGCAACTGGCACATAGCACTCTGCATAAATTTTAATAAATGTTAATTAAATAGTACTAAAGCCATTTAATACTTATTGACAAGGATTCAATAGCAACCATAATGATGAAGTTGAGTATCGAACAAGATTAAAAGCTTAGGTTTCCAAACCCCAGCTGTGCCACCTTTTTGTGACACTGGCAAAATTATCTGCCTTTTCCAAATTTCTGTCTTCCTTTCTGTTAAAGGAGAGCAATGCACAGAAGAGACATTGTAAGAGAACAGGCATAAAAGTGACCTAGTAAATGATATCATTATTAGAAATCAAATCTTATCATTACTCTAATCTATCACCTCCATTCTGAATTTCAGCCTGAATCAGCTCCTGTTTCAGTTCTTCTATTTCTTTCTTCAGTTTAGCATTTTCAACTCGAAGTTTTTTCTCTTCTCTCAGTGTTGCCTGCAAAACTAGGATCAAGAAAATACAATTAAAATATGTATTTTTACATTAATTTTATTAAGAAGTAGAAATGAGACATTTTCAAAACAGGTTAGTAGGACAATTACAATAATTAATACATTATATATTGTCTTTGTAGTACTTATTCATAGTACAAAATGCAGACATATCTTATATAAACAGTTAGCTCAAAATTTTCTTCTTATTGAACTAAGAGAAAGTAGCTGTATAACTATGCTATTTTGTATACACACACACACACAACATACATTTTTTTTTTTTTTTCACTACAAAATGGTCCTTCATCTATATCCCCTTTTGTTTACTTTTGTCAGAGATGGGTACTCCATTGCCATTCGTATATTGTAGGTGCATAAATTCAGCAAAAGACCTACAAACTGCTGTACAGGATTTCAGGGTAATTCCTGAGGGGATCTGACTGACCTTGCCAGATACAAAAGTTATATTTTTTGTTGTATAGGTCTTGCTTTATCTTGGTCTTAATCATCCAGCAGAAAAGTATAAAAATGAGGTATAAAAAGTAAAGCCATATTAATATGCTGAGCTATAAAAGGCTCAAGTCAACAACTTCTGACATGCAGATAACCCACTACTATTATGGACTACTGGACTATATTGGAAATACGTATTTTCTAACGTTTCTTTTTGAGTACCATTTGGAAAGAACGTAATCTGTGTACACACGGCTAGGACAACACCACACACCAAATATTTGGTCAGCTCCTTTATGTGAGTTTAATGTTTACTAAAACAACATGACTCAGAAGGCTAAGGCAGGAAGGTAACAAGTGAGATTTCATCTCAACATTTAAAAAAAAATTTAAAAAGAGCTGGAAAAGTAGCTCAGTGGTAGAGTACACTATATTTGATTGCCAGCACTGTAAATTCCATAAAACTAGATTCAACCCTAAAGAGTAAATCTTCAAGTGAGATTTTGTACATATAACTTTGCAATTTTAAGTAAAACTTAAAAGAATACCTTAGGAAGTGATATGAAAGTACATACCTTCCCCCATATATTCTAGGACATACGATTTCATATTTGATCTCACTCAATTTTCCTGTTACCTCTAATGCAATTCCAACTAACTTTAAAAATAATCTTCATCCAGCAATTTAAAATAATACATTTTTTCTCTATATAATATATACTTACTACTACCAATTCTAATTATTGTAAGCCTAGCATATATTATTTTAAATACTAAAGAAATTTAGAAGTTATCAAGATGACTTAAGTAAAAATATATATGGTAAACATTTTCCTCCTTTGTTAATATGTGAATTCAAGTTCCTTAAATTTTCTTACTTGCTTTCTCCTTGAGAAGAGCAACTTGCTGTTTAAGATATTCAATAATTTGATCCGCCTCTGCCCCCTTCTGCTCCAGTCTCTTCAGAACAGCCTCATTGGTTGTCATTTTTGCCAAAAAACGACAGAAACTCCTAAATACAAAAATAAAAGTGGTGTGTTACTTCACAAGGAATAAATACTAAACATGTTAATAAAGGCCATATAATATATATACTGAAATTATTTCCAAATAGGCATATGACTAATAATGATGTTTTGCTAATTGTTTTTTTGCTTTTCATATTTGTGTCTTCTCCAAATGTTACTCATGAAATTATACATATTTCAATAAATAACAGAAATATTTAGTATACAAAAATATTTTATAAAGGCTGGAGAATATGCTCAATCATAGATCAGTTGTGTATATATGATATATATACTATATATACAAAAAATATATATATACACACACATGATATAGCCTTTTAGTTCTATAATACATTCAAAATATTGTTTTTAAATCCTGCCAAGATAAACATGCTATAAACATTGAGGTTAATTTATCATGGTAAAGCTTAAACTGCCACATACTAGATTAAAAACTGCATCAATAAGAGCAGGTTAATCATTAGTCACACTATGAGCCTGTACACTTTTACCTGACTTTATATCAGTTTATACTTCAACGTGTAAAAGTGACATAAAGCACTGCTGAAATAAACAATCTTTTAAGCAAATAAAACTGCTCTAGATAAATCCTAAGTTTTTGATAAAAAAAAATCGGTCAATGTACAAATAACTCAAGGTTGTTTCAAAATTTTAAATTATTGTGCAAATTTTTCCCATACAAAAAAATATTCTGAATTTATAATTTTTTAGAAAAAAAAGACATTGAAAATACTCTATCATAAAGTTCACCGTATATAACAGACACAAAACCTAAGCAAAATAAAACCCTACAAAAACCAAGTTGCTAATAAATGAAGAAAATGTTAAAAGGGAGGTCAACCTGGTAAAACCCTAGCAAAGTGTGTGTGTTTTACATGGACAATTCTTTTAACAGCTTTTAAAAATACAGACTAATACTTGGAATAGAAATATCATTTTAAAATTCTACCTTTTTCTACAAAGTGACCAGAATGATCACGTTCCTCAAATTATTTCAAAGTCCAGGGTTTAGAGGAAAATTAAAAATGTTCATCTGAAGAAAGTTAAAGTAAAAATATTGTGCTTTTCTGAATTTTAGTATGCTGAATTATAGCAATCTTTTAGTTTAATGACAATTTTAATCTAATATAAGTAATGAACAAATGTTTTTAATATGTGAAGTACACCTAGCACAAACAAGCACAGTCTTTAAATGGGAAGGCAGAGACACACTTTAGAAAAATATAGTTTGCAAAGGTATGGCATACAAAACATCACTCAAATTTCAAAATAAAATAGTATTTCAAGTGCTATAAAAAATTATGTAAGCATAGCATGGCTTTCCTAAGTGAGCCAACGGCTCTAATAAGTCATCTACAAATGTACACCAGCCACATAGCTGAAAAAACAAAACCTGAGACCAATGCTCTGACTCACTAAACAGTTTAAAATCTTCCAAGACCAAGACTAATTTGCAAAAGAGATCATAAATCCTAGCCTAAGAGAAAAAACAGGATATACAATTTTATTGCATTAATAAATCAACTGCTTGGGAAGCAGGTTAGTTAAAAAACTGAGTTAAATATGAGTTGGACTTTTGCAATAAAATACATAAGGAATACCATGTATCAATACAGAAAGAAGCTGAACATGAAGACACACACAGCTATGAAGAAAAAATGAGGTGATAAGCCAAAATGGTAAAACTTCGAACGAAACTGACAGAAATATAAGTGAGAAAATCTGAATGATCCCCCATCATTATTATATAAAGGAGTTCCAAGACTAGGGATTATCAATCGCTATGCCAGTTTTTGTAAAGCTAAACTACAATTACATCAAACCTAAAACACAAAAGGGTCATAGTTAAGATTAGGTTATAATTGCAGTTTGACAGTATAACAACTACAAAGCTACTCCGTTCAGTTTGGATATTTGTATAAGTAAGCTGTATGAACGTTTTCAAAAGTTAAAAAATGTTGAATAACGCACTCTCATACAAAACTAATGACTGATGAAGTAAAAATATATATATATATATATATATATATATGTGTGTGTGTGTGTGTATATCTCACTCCCACATAATTCAAAATAGCATGTAAGACACAAGCATTTCAAAAAATCCCTGAAGATTTTTATGCTTCTACATACTGTAAGATAATGATATGCTACATATAAAACTATATATTACTTGTACTTAACTAATTTTAATGCACTACAAAATAAGTATAATTTATATACCTGGTTATAAGTTTACAAATACTTGCTTAGGGTAAAGCCTAGCTTTAAACTGTGAATTGGTAAATAAAAGTAGGACTGCGAAACATATATTCCTTATAATACTCAACAAAATGGACTCAACCCAGTAATTAGATTTAAAAAATGAGAATTAAAGATGAAAAATAAGAAAGCATGTCAATAACAAAAAAATTACTGGAAAACACATATGTAGGCTATGATAGAGTGATAATGATATTACTTGACCATTCAGAATTACAAAATTAATAGAAGCTATCACACATTTTATGATTCACATTAGATAGTAATACCTACTGTTTGCTTTTTTCAATATCAATTACATTCTTTTCTAAACATTCACCAGTAACTTAATTATTTCAACACCATGAAGTACATACTACCATTGCCCTTTCTTATGCATTTACTGATATTAAATTATATGCAACCAAGGAATAAACTAAATGAAATAGAGCACACTTCAACTTGAATTCCCTCTAAAGGTCTTCTAAGGAGACCTATGAAAACTAAGAGCTTTAGCTCAGGAGGCAAAATAATCCACAGCAAGCAGCACACAGAATTTTGCCAAAGGTACAACTAGCCAAGAATACCAAAAGAAAAACTGGTTTTATGAGAATGATGTAAAATCTTCTGGTTTCAGAGAAGTAGAGAAAAACAAACAAACATAGAACAAAAATTCACTGAATGCTTTCTGCTTACCTTTGTGGCTAATCTAACACTTGTCTATAAAATAAAGTCATCAAATTAAAAACTCAAGGCTAGTAGGGCTTGGCTGATTAATGGATAAAAAATTATAGATTGAAGAGTAAGTTCTAATATTCTATAGAACAGTAAGGTAACTGTAACTAAAAATAATTTATCATATATTCTGAAATGGACAAGAGGGCTCTAAATGTTCTCACAGCAAATGGTAAACACTTCAGGTGATCACCATGCAGAGTAAAAAGGTAGTAAAATAATCACATGTAAGCCCATATTATCACATGTTAAATACAAAAAAAATTCACCAAACCCCAAAACTGTATGGATGTGAAAGCATGCGAGTCCATGACACCTTTTAGAACTAGGCTAAGGTCAAGCTATTATTTAAAAACGTATTTGTCAAAAGTCAAAGTTTAAAAAAAGGTAAATTTAAAAATGGACACTGAGAAAAATCTATCTCAGAGACAAACACAATTCCAGAGTCAAACCTACAGAAGATCTAAAATCACTTTATTTTAAGGTTCACATTTATTCTTGATTCCTCCCCTACCCTTCCCCCCCCCCTTAGCACAGAGCCACCTCTGCCTCTACTGGTGCAGTCACTCTTACCTAACAGTGCAGTCTTTTACCTGGCTCAGATTAATAGGAGTTAGCCATCCACTCCCCACCATCTTTTCCCATTTCTTATCCAAGAACATAGCTAATAAGAGTAACTATTACTTTAATGGACCAGGTCCACTACATACTTTGCTATTTAATTTCTGCAACCTTGTAAGATATTACTTACAACTGAGACATAAGTGCATTATCTGCCTAAATCCACTTAAGTATTAAACGACAAAGCTACGATTTTATTTGTTTGTCCCCCTCAAACTCATACTACAGTTCATTTTTAAAGTCTGAGTCTAAATAAATATAATTAAACTCCCACCCAAAATACGCTCGCACATTAAGTACAGCAAGTATATGACTGGTTTAAAAAAAAAAAAGACGATTGGCTATTTCTTCTCACATGTAGTGAACCCACTATTATCTCCCCTGTGAATTACAGCAAAAACCTCTTAATTGGCCTTGTTTATTCTAATCCACTGTTCTCGCCATATGAGTGATCCTTTTAAAAGGAAATCAGATCGTATCACTCTACTGACCAAAATCTTACAATTTCCTTCAGGACAAAAGGTAGCTGCACTCTTCATGAGCTGTCCCTGTTCGCCCGGACTTGATCTCTAGCTTTATCCCTTCCATTCAACGCTGATGCAGGCTTCCTTGCCATCCTGTTTTACAAAGGTTGGTACCCCTGCCTGAAGGCACTTCATCTCTGTCACCTAGGAGAAAGTCACCCTTTCTGTGAGACTTTCCCTGGCCACACTAAATATTCAAACTACATCCTCCTTTTAGCCAGATTATTTTTCTCTTCAGCATTCACAATGACCTAAAACACGGTGTTTTTACTTACTTTGCTCAGTTTGTGACTTCCTCACTAAGATGTGGGCGAGGGGATTTAGGGAGGAAGTTTTGTCTGTGTATTCTTTTGGTGCTCTTTCTAATCTGTCCAGTGCTTCTGATCATAGCCCAAAACAGTGCCTGGTAACGTGAGGGACGCGGAATTGCGGTCTCCATCCTCTCCCCCACAAACCTCCGAGTCCTCCGACATACACTCATAAAAGTAAACCTGCTTCCGAACCTATTTTTTCTCTTAACGCTGCCTCCACTGCTCAAACTTAGTTCCTAGAAAAGGTCCCAAGGTCTTTCCTTTCTCACGCCAGTGTGGGTGATAGTGCGATCAGACTTCCCACTAGACCCGCAGACCAGGTCTTCCCTCCTGGGGCTTATACCGGAAGAAAAAGACTGCAGCAGAGGTAATCTGCTTAACCCAGACCCTCAGAGAAACCACTCACATGAAGCAGCCGACTGCAATTCCAGGGCAGGAAGCTACACGGTCCAGCACACGCTGGCACCGAGAAAGGACCCTTATTAGGTGTCCACGCTTAACGCCTGAGTACCACACAAATGTAACCCACATTTTGGCGTCCCTGTCCTGCGTGTAGTGTAGGCTGTTCAGTAGACCTTCCATTCTCTCATCCAATATTACAGACTCCTGTCACATTCTTCCTCGCTAGTTACATTTGCTTGTTAGTTTGGGCAGGCGTTTGGCGGCAAGAAGTTGGGGGCTTTTCTTAACCTTGCGTCGCGCGGCTGTGAGGTCAAAAATGGGGGTCGAGCTGGTTTGAGTTTGGAGGGAAAGGCCGTCAGCTGTCAGTGGGCATTTCCGGGTTCGCCTTCCAGGCCAGGTTCCGAAGAACGGACTTCGGCGTTCTTGGCTCGCCTGCAGAGGCCAGTCTGTGAGCTCCCGGTGCCCAGCAACAACCTGTATTGTAGAAACCTCTGAAATGCGGGGCTGGGTGCATTGAGCCGGAGCACCAGCATCAGCTGCCGCGCTGGGGCCCCGTGTAGGCGCTCCTTCCCCCTTGTGTTTGTGCCCGCCTGCGTTCTCAGACTCAGAGGCAGGTACTCGGGTCCCAGTGTTGTGTGTCTCTTGCAGGGGCTCGTGGGTGGGACAAGAGTGTCAAGTGCAGCCGTGGCTCCGCGTGTCCGCTGCGAGAGCTGGAGCGAGCCGTACAGCGTGCGCGGCGCCACCTCCGTCCGGTTTCCAGCCCTTCTTCCTCCTCGGTCACAAACCTTTGGGAACCTCTAGGCAACTGTGAAAGTAACCACTGCGTAACTGCTTTAAAGGAAGACTTAAAGAGCAAGGTAGAGAATATGAAGCCTATTACTTATTAAAAAAAAACTACGGACTATGACTCTTGTCACATTTCTGATTTTAACATTTTACTCCCTTGGGCAGTAGGAGAAAGTGAAGTGTGAGTTGAGAATTGTCAGTGACTGTTTTTCAAGGGCTCCTGTCTGTTTAGTTGAGACAGATAATTTTGAGTGAAGGTATATAAAATAAATTATATAATTCGATTTGCCCATTGACATGCGAATAGTATTCGTGATAAAATCAATATCTTTTTTTCTGATATTGACTTTCATTTCAGTCGTTCAAATCCAAGTTCTTTGAGGGCAAAGATTGTATACAGACGGCTGAAGAATTATCTTTTTCACCGTCCTTACCTCGCAGCTAGAAAAGATTCTTTTTAAGTAAGGGTTTCGAGTTGAATGAATTTTCACTACCTACGCTGTTTTCCTCTTGCAGTCTGTCACTTCAGTAGGGTTTTTAAACAGAAAATCTAATAGTAGTTTGTAGAAAGATCAAATAATACAATAGCTTTCTATCTCGGCCTTCCTACTCTTGGCCTATTCTTCAGAAATAAATACCTTCAATGGTTTCTAATTCTAGGTCTATTTGGATGTTAATTAGTTTTCATTGATGTGTTCGTTGATGTCTTAAGATGGTGTATAGCATTCACAATTTGTGTAATAACTATAGCCATAGTTTTTCTCTGAATTTTGGAATATACCACAATTTTAGTTTAGTACTTTGTGTGTGTGTGCATATATGTATATATATATATATATATTTTATATACTTTTTCACACAAACCTTTTTCTTTTTTGAGATAGGGTCTCTGTGTGCAGTTCAGACTGGCCTTGAACCACACAGGGGGGCGAGGATTGCCTCATTATCATGGCAGTCCTGCTATCTCAGCCTTTTGAATGCTGGGATTACAGGCATATGCCACCACACCTGGCTTACGCAAACTTTTGAAAACCTACTTTGACTCTGTTTTTAAAATCAGAAAAGCAGTGACTTCCTTATCAAGGCAGAACCTATATTCACCTGTGTTAATGAATTTGTAGTTTCCACTCCTACGCTATACTGTTTGCAAATGACCAGACAGTTCTGAGAGCATACAGGAGATTTTATTCAGTGACAAATGAATACAATCTATAGGCACATTCTCCAGCAGCTCTGGGGTCTACATTTTTATAACTCTAGATCACGTGGTGGTACAGCAAGCATGCTTTCATCAAAGCTTGGCACAGAGAAGGAACGACAACTTCCAGGAATGAGGGTATCATTATCTTTCTTTCCTAATTTGAGCATGTTCAAACCTAACATGCTCTGAGTATGTATGTTTTTTATTCCAATAAGATTATATGGGCCCAGGCTCTTCTGGAGTGTGAGAACCATGTGAAGCAAATCTAGGCAGTTGGAGGCACACAGTTATCCACCTGTAGTAAGCAGTCGAGCAACATCTATTAGCAGCTAGGGCTGATAAGACAGTGCGTTATCAGTAGTTACAGGGTTTAAGCTGGTGACACCTGTACTTCCCTCAGCTGGTCCTTTACTTGTCTATTGCTATTGCTAATTTTAATATTTATATTTTATTTCTTAACCATAGCTTTTGCTTTTTAATATACTAAAAGCTAATTAAGTGCTTAAAATAGTAGGCTTTTAAGGACTCAGTGCGGAGCCAAGCAACGTGCTACGATACATTTCCTTCTCAATGTTTTTATTCTGTGTTTAAGAATTTTTCAAGTATTTAAGTCAAGGTGATTCTTTCTTCCCTGCCAATGACAAAAAAAAAAAAAAAAAAAAAATCATGTCCTAAAATACACTTCATTTTGTAGATTGTATACGTTTTTACCCTTCTCTCTTTTGTCTTTAGCCCACCTCATTTTGTTTTTCTTTTTAAATGAAGATTTTTCATTCTTAACACACAAAGAAGCTTTTATTACCTTCCCTTGGTCGAAGGCATTTGTCTTGGAGCTGAGTGGTACTTTGTCTAATTTGAACAAAATTGCAATCTATTTTTTGGCTATCTTCTATCTTAGATTTATATGTTTTGAACTTTTGGGTAAATTAAATTTTTCCTTAACCCTACATCTTTTGATTGTTTCCCCTTCCTGTTTTGTTAAAATATATCCTAAAGAAATTTGCTTTCAAAAGATATGTGGTTGGTAATTTTATTTTTCAATGTTTCCCTGGTAGAGTATTCCTATTTGCTATTGTGATTGATTGTTTGGCCACATATAGAATCAAAATTATGATCATTTGAATATTTCAAGATTTTACTTTTTTCTAACTTCCATTGGTGCTGATGAGAAGACAACCATTTTTCTCTGAAATAGTTAAAAATTTCTGGGTTTTTTATCCATTTACTCTAAGTACTTTTGAAAATTTTTGGTGCCCTGTGAGTTTATTCTCTTTGAAATGAATTCATTCCATGGAGATGAGATGCATATCCCCTTATTAATAATTTTCATTTATGGGTTTCTTGAAATTACAGGCTTTTTGAAGGTATTTGTTTTCCTAAAACTATGGGGGAATCTTCTTTTACTCTCTTTCATACTTTTGTGTCTTTCTTCTTTTTTTTTAAGTTCTTACAAAGTGGTTTGATTTGTGGCTTGATATATAATGTCTAATTGTTTCTAATATTTTCATCCATTTGCCTTTTTGCTGCATGCCCTGAGCCATTTTCTAATGTTTCTGTTTATTTTGGGAATCATGTAATTTCTGCTTATTTTTATCTCTTTTTCCTCTCAGTTTCTAAATTTTTATGAGATGAAACTTATACATATTTAAAATGTACTAACTGTAAACAGCAGTTTAATGAGTTTTGATGTGTGGATTGACAAGTTAGCCCCATCCTAATATACAGGACATTTCCACTACTGTAAAAAATTTCTCTCCCTAGCTATTCAGTATTTTCTTCTCAACCTTGGGGACTCCCTTCTAATTTCACTGTTTTTAGAACTATACTTCAGGAATACTTTTAAAGGGAGCCATATAATATTTACTCTTTTGTGTTGGCTTTCATCAACGTAATGTTTTTGAGATGTATTTCTATATTGGCATGTTTGTTCCTTCTTTGTTGTTGGATAGCATTGCAGATATTGGTATGCAGAAGCTTGTATATCCATTCTGTCACTCAATTGTGTGACATTTACATTACCTCAATGTTTTAGCTACTATGAGGAAAGTAGCACAAACTCCTTCACGTCCACACAAGGAGATTCATATAAGAAAGGCCAGGCAGCATTGTGCCTAGTAGCCCCAACCCAGACACAACCTAAATATCCAATAACATTATTTGTGTGTGTGTGTGTGTGTGTGTGTGTGTGTGTTTTGTTTTTTAGTTGAGATTCATTTTTTGGTTTTTTTGCTGAGGACTGAACCCAGGGATTCCAGCTTGCTAAGCAAGCATTCTACTGCTGAGCTAAATCCCCAGTCCCACTAATAACATTTTTATGGACAAAGATTTCATTTTCTCAGGGAAATGCCATACAAATTTGGGATTTTTTTTGGGGGGGGCAGGTCTTTTTGAGACAGGGTCTTGCTATGTGCTTCTGGCTGGTGCTTGAGCTTGCTTTGTAACCCAGGCTAGTCTTGAACTCACAGCAGTCCTCTTGTCTTAGCCTCCTGAGTGCTGAGATTACAGGCATGGCTGGCAGAAGTTGGAATATTTTTGACTTTAGAAAAGTTTTCCAAAGTTCTAGTCCCTTTCATATTCCTACCAGCTTTATATCAGAGCTCCAGGTCCACATTCTCTGTAGCACTTGTTATTGCCAATCATTTTAATTTTAGCTCCTCTGATGAAAGTGAAAAACATCTTGCTATAGTTTTAATTTGCATTTTTCTGATGTTTTGTAAGTAATGGTGTGTATATAAATAGGAGTTTCTACAGGAATATAATAGCAAGACTATCATATTTTTAAGATGATTGTACCAATTTATACTCCTGCTTCTAGTAAATGTGTTACAACTTTTTAATTTTTAAAATTTCTTTTTATCTTAGTTTTTACTAGCTATTGCATATCAATTTTCATGTGGTATTAATAAGCAATTCTTTTGTTTGTTGAGATTATTCCCTCATGTATCTGTTGATCATCACTTTTAATTCTCCTATGAAATTTTTTATACCCTAGTTTTGTAGTCTTTTGTTCATTTTTAAAAGACAACAAAAATAAAAAAAAAATAGAAGCAATGCAGAATTTCAGTAAACGAAGGGATAGGAATTCAACAATGGTTCTTATAGTGAATATTGTTGTCTTCAAATTAGTTGTTCAGATTACCATATAAAAGCATGCAAAATTGGTCAAAAATTAAAAAAAATTTTAAGCAAATGGTTATGGGAAAATTGTATATGGTTTTATACAATTGTTACAATATTTTCTTAAGTCTCTAAACATGTTGGGTTTTTTTTTTTTTCAAAAAGTATTGCGATTTCCTCCAAAGCCAGAATTTGAAGGGTTTATTTTATTCTTTCAATCTTGTAGTGTAGTGTCTCCTAAAATATATGGTAATTCTCCAACAGTTTATTATTTAATAGCTAAGACAGGCTGACTGAGAGCTCTCCATATGCAGAAACCCTTGTTAATTGCACTTATTTTAGGAAGGCTTTGCTGGTAACCTGAACTTAACTGTGGTACTGCAAATTCAAGAATCAAGAGGAAGGTTTCTTTTTTTCCCCCTTCAACCAGTGCCTAAACCAACTACTATAATTTTCAAAAAAAAAAAAATAGTATTTTTTGTTCTTATGATATTTTTTGTTTTTGTTTGTTTTATTCAGAAGGTAAATTATTGCCCATTTGAGTAGCTGGTGGGAAATGTCGCTTGTAATTTTCAGCCTTTCAGATCACACCCTTCTGAGCTTTGGTAACCATTGTTTCTACCATACAGAAAATAGATCAAACGAGGAAGAAACAGCACCAAGAAGGTGTGGAAGCGGTTTATTATACCAGTGCCTGAGATCTCTCCCAGAGTCAGCCCCACCTGGTGGAGTTTGGGGACTTCTATAGGGAGGACAAGTGGGGAGGCAGATTTGGTATACTGTGATTGCAGGGTTGGGGGACGTCTTGGGTTGCTAACAGAGTTTAAACATCTCAAGTTGCATTGCAAGGCCATCAGTTAAACAAACATGATTTACACAAAGGAAGATGTGCCCCATTATATTTGAAAGTTACATTGAAAGGCCGTCAGTTACACAAAGGCAATAGAGACAGGTTACACAAAGGAAGGAATGTTCTGTTATCCAGCCTGCCAGACATGTCCACTTGGTTTTGATGGGCATCTTGGGCAGGATTTAAATTTAAAATTTTAATTTTTCCCTTCACTCCCTTCTCTGAATCCAAATAAGCCAAACCACCAACCTCATGATTAGGATACATTGTGTAGCTTCTTTTTTTTCTATTTCTTATAACAGTACTTTTCCATAAGCATTCTGCTTTATAGTGTTTTTTTTGAAATCTTTCCTCACCTTAATAGTAGGTTATCCAAACTTGAGGTAATAAGAAATGCTTTTTGGTATGGGAGTGCAATAACACATTTTATCTGCTCTTAAAACTTTTAGGCATCACTGAAAAAGAAATTATCTGACTTTCTTTTTTTATGTTGTGAAAATCTTTGACTCAGATTCAATATACACTTATATTTGGGTGTTTTTTCCTGTGATATTATCTTGAAACTTTTTAACTTTCATGTGATTTACTGTAAAGTGTTCAGATTGACAGTCTTTCAAGTTGTATATTAAATCTAAGGTGAGAAAATACTTCCTTTATGTTTGGTTAATCTGTCACAAAATTCTCTCTTGTTTCCAGATTGTCTTAAAGGATTCAGGACTCCAAAAATGTTTCCCTTGAAGGATGCTGAAATGGGGGCCTTTACTTTCTTTGCCTCTGCTCTGCCACATGATGTTTGTGGAAGCAATGGACTTCCTCTTACCCCAAATTCTATCAAAATTTTAGGGCGCTTTCAAATCCTTAAGACAATAACCCATCCCAGACTGTGCCAGTATGTGGATATTTCTAGGGGAAAGCATGGTGAGTTGTTTTGGTTTTTTGGTTTTTGTTGTCGTCTCTGTTTTTCCTATTTTGTATTCTCTACTTTGTCCAAGATTCAATTATAAATATATACTCAAAATATAAAGGAATCAGTATATATGTGAGCTTGCTTTTTGTGTTTGAGAATAATTTTGGCTAACTGTTCAAATGCAAAGTTGTTAGTTTTTTAAAATAGCATTTTTTATGTAGGATTATATTTATAGGGCTGAAGTAGAAAAGTTGAACTTTATTGATTAAAAAGTCAGTGTTGCACTACAAAACATGTTTACTCTGTTTTTAGTAGTATTTTTCTATATCCCACTAAAGCTGCTTATGGTGACAATATTTTGAATTATTTTAAATTTATTTTTGAAAGCTTACTTTCCAGCCAAGATTCCATATCTTAAAATTATGTTAAGTGAATTTTAGTGTAATATATCTAACTATTTCAAGTAAGATAATTTGGAGGTATAAAAATCATACGCGAAAGCAAATTATATATTTGGTGATATTCAACTGTTTTTCCCTTAAAAGATGAACTCTGTATCTTTAACCTAGTATTCAAGACTCTGATAAATGGCAATTTTGTTTTTTGAAAAGTAGGCAAAACTAGACTTTGAAATTGTCTGGTTTGTTTCTCTCAGAAGTATTTGTTCTGAGAATACTTGTGTTTTATAGAAAACTCTTTTGTAATGATATTGACTAATGCTAATGTTTGGGTATTATCCTAATAATATGTACATATATCTAATGTATATGTATGAGGCAGTGTTCTAATGCCTTATACATATGCTGACTAAAAGTCCTTATAACTTTACTACAGTATAGAGACTGCTACTTTTTCATTTTGCAGATCAAGTTGAAGCCTAGAACAAGATTATACAAAGGAAAATAACAACCTAAAGAATCATATATTTTATTATTTGTTGAAAGATTATAAAAGCTGCTGTTTGTCTATAATAATATAAATAGCAACACCATTGCATTATTTGCTCCCCTAAGTACTTTAGAGCTCTGCCATATACTTAGTACACTGAGTGTTTAGGTACTGCTAAGAAACAGTGAGAGACATAGGAAAGGGACTGATAAAAAAAGATCATTGTCTAGCAGATAATGTATTTCATTTTTATGTTTGTATATGTACACAGAAATATGCATTCCTACTCATATGTCTTATACACATAATGTATACTTGTGTGGATATAATGTACATAAATGCACATATTAAAACAATTCTGATTTGCACTGTGACCCCTGTGTGCAAAACTGCATTTAGTGGATTGATTCAGAAAATACAGTACACACTAACCATACTTGCTTGACCTTCCAAGAGAGAACACCATTTTGAGGCCTCAAGGATCTCTCCCCATAGGGAATAAATTTGAAGACCAGAACTGATAGAAAACAAAGTTTCAAACAAAAAGTACAAAGATGCTGGTGAGATGAAGACTGTTTTAGGAACTACTCTTATGCCTTATGACATTTGTTATATTCTGCTTTGGCATACAGAACCTTTACCAACTAAAGTTATAATAGTTTAGTACATGCTTACTTGATTCTATAGTTCTCCTTGTGCAAGATCCAAATGTTGGAAAATGATTAAGTCAGGAACCCAATTCCCAAGTAAACCCCAGAAATAATGGAGATAGAACCATGATTATAGTACAGTAATAGCTATATGAGAGATGATATACAGTGTCCTCCATTTTAAGAGTACAAAAGAGAGAATGTTAAATTCTAATTGAAAAATGTTGACATTGAATTCCCATCTAAAAAGTTTTTATGGGGAGGCTGGGCATGGTGGCATGCACCTGTAATCTCAGCTTTTGGGAGGCTGTAAACAGTTGGATCATTATGAGTCTGATCTCATAGTGAGACCCTGAACACCCTGTAGACCCTTCCCTAAAATACAGGAAAAAAAGAAAAGTTTTTATGGGATTAAGGGTTGTAGAACAGTGAGGTGGTTCTTCTGTTTATGAAGCATTATTTCATTGGTACTGCTGACCTAAAAATATTAATGGGTTCTTGAAAGACATTCTGGGCTTTTATTTTTGATGTATTTGTAAGCAACAAAATCTTCGTCTTATTATTGTTCTTTATTTTAAGAGAAGTTTTGATTTCTTCATTACCTATAATCTTACTTTTTTCCAAAAAGAATGAGGCGAGTTGCAGACATCAATGTAATATTTAATACAAGTTCATGAGCCTTTGTTCAAAAGTCTAAAACCTGAAGTGCATTCCCACTCAAAAGCCCTGGGACTTAGGAGCACTTTGGATTTCAGATTTTTGGAGTAGGGATGTTCAGTTTGTAAAGCCTATACACATATTCTGAAATTTAAAAACTGAGAAATCTGAAATACTCTGTAGAACTTTGGGTAAGAAATATTCATGTTGTACATATAGCACATGAAAGAAAAATGTGTAATCCAAATGTAGATGTGGGAGAATAAATAATTCTTCCTCTATTGTCTATTGTGTAGTGGCTGGAGGCATGAATCAAACTGATCAAAGACAGATTAACAAGAGAAAAAAACTCTAATCATTTATAAAATCAAGGAAATTCACAGAAATGTAACTCTAAGAGTCAGAATTATTAATGTTAAAGATGAAAAAGACGTGGTACTTTTATATAATGGAGTACTACTCAGCTATAAAGAATGATAAACTTGAAGCCTTCATACTTAAGTGGATGCCCCTTGAAGATATACTTATTAGTGAAATAAACCAGACCCACATCTGTAAATATCGTATTGTCTCCCTAATATAAGGACTTACAATTCCA